GCGCTGTGGTTCAAGTGGTAGAGTGCTAGCCTTGAGCTAATGAGCTGAGGGACAGTGCCCAAGCTCAGAGTCCAAGCCCCACGAATGACAAAAAAAAAAAAAAAAAAAATCTGATTAAAATGTTGAATTTGTGTGGAATGTGTGGGAAATTGTTGTGCTTTGGAAGGTGGTTGCTGGCCTAACACTGTTTTCTTTCTTCTCTCATCCCACCCCCACCCCGTAATGTCTTAAAGCTAGTTTCATTTGTTGGACAATTTCATTCAGTTCCTTCTTTGCAGCAAAGCAGTGCCATCATAAGCTAACTCAAGTGAGACTCCAGAATGGAGGCAGAAAGTGAGGACATTAGCCTTTCTTTGTGGGTCTAAACTTAACCTTTGCACACTCATTCTGCCAATAGGACAGGAGAAATGTATGTTTACTGCTGACAAATGCAGGACAGTTTCCAACAGACTGACATTCTCTTTGTATTTACACAAACAAATGGTAGCTTTTTTGTCTTATATTTAATTAACATTTATCAAGATGAGTGATTGTCATGGTTCACTGAATGTAAGACCCCTATGTGTGATGATTGTTAAAGAAAAACATTTCCAGGCCTTGTTTCTTCGGTGTTTCAGTCTGAATAGGTCTGGGTGGCCATGAATAACCACTTGTAAGACACACCCAGAACATTCTGAAGAAAGAAGTCTAAGGGGGTAGAATTCTTTGAGAAAAGCCAATTTAAGTGAAACTGTTCTTTCTTAGTACTCTTGCTTTCAGTTAAGTAAATTCAGTGGAAGGCTATATAGTTCACTACAGGTAGAATGTAGTTTCAGTAGCTAGCAAACCTGGGGTCAAATTTTACCTCTGCCACGCACAGTCCTCGGTTTCTTCCCCTGTATGAGGGGGGCAATTTAGTAGCTATAGTAAAGGATTTTGTTGGGAGGGTTAGGTGAATTGACACATGGATGTATTCTGGAGAGTGTCACACACACAGAGTTGGCTCTAATTATTTTTCAAAGCAAAATTCATTTCCCATTCTTCCTGATTCTTTCATTACAATTTTCTAGTTTTCTCCAGGCTGCTTCTATTCTTCTTTGGCAGGAAGGGACTGCAGGAGGCCAACAGTAGTGAAAGAGATGAATGGCCACTTTCATAATTCACTTCAAGAAGCTCTTCTGTGAGTTGACAGAACGCTAACTCCATATCATTTTAACTTGGGCTAATTTGATTAATTAAATAAATAATTATTTATTATATAAATAAAGACATTCACGCAAAAGATATCTTAATATGTTTCCAAACAAACTAAAGTGCAATTAAATGACCATGGCGGAGTATTTTTATCCTCATAAATGAAAACTTATTTCATATGAATACTTAAGTGTGTCTTTTATTTATGAAGGGAATGTCAGTAATGCTTCCTGGCAAGTGTCCATTATTTAGTTGAAACCCTTTCCATGTTCTTGATTTGAAGCCATTTTGTCTACAAAAAGAATTCATGACAGTTATACAAAAATTATAATCTGCTCTAAAAATTACAACATTGCCGAGCACTGTTGGCTCATGCCTGTCTTCCAAGCTACTCAGGAAGCTGAAATCCGAGGATGGGGTCAAAGCCAGCCCAAGCAGGAAAGTCCCTGTGAGACTCTTAACTCCAATCAACCATCAGAAAACTAGGAGTAGCGTTGTGGCTCAAAGTGATAGAACACTATTAGCTTGGAGTGGAAAAGCCCAGAGACAACATCCAGGCTCAGAGTCCAAGTCCACAATCAACAAACAAAAAACCCAAAACACTACATACAACATGTGACTGCACCAAGCACTTTCTGAGTAACTTATATACTAATATAAATTCAGTGGCTGGGGTCATTTGAGTGGCTGCTTAAGTTTTATAGCACTGTGACCTGAAAAGACAGAGAAGGCTCCATCACAGAATTTAGTTAAGACTCCATAATAGTATTGGCTTCAAGTGGAAATATCAAGTTTTCTTTTAAGAAGAGCAATGTTTGCTGTCTTTAACATAAGTAGTTTTTATTGAAAGTGTAAAGTTATCAAGCAACTTCTAAAGGTATTTACATAATTTGTGCATATTAATTTTCTTGCATTAAATTACATTACCTTCATTGCATGCTATGCTTGGTAAATTGTTGCTTGACTTCTTGGTAAATTTGAAACTACATTAATAATGATGAAGGATGATTTCTAATTTCTGAGGCTCATTCTGTGTTTCTAACTCACAGGTAGAGATGATAAATGCATAAGCTCAAAAATCCCATTCCTAACCTTTGAACAATAGACTCCACAAATTCTTAGATTCTCAACCCGGCCTGCACCGGCCTACCACTTCCTTTCAGCCCCTCAGTGGCAAGATTAACTGGCCTCACCTCTGGCAGGAGCTGCCCAACAGGAGAAGTGAGTGCAGAGGGACCCCCGACAAGGGAGACCACTCCATTGCAGTCCACGGCGCTGTGCATCTTCCCGTTCATGGGCAGAATGGGAAGGACCCTGGAAGCTCGGCTGGCCTGGCTCACGTTGCTGTGCCGCCGTTCGCCATGTTTGTGCGGCACAAATAGCGAGTCTCTTCGACTGTCATTGTCCTCAAAGGTGCTGTGCTCATCATCGGCAAAGTCGTTCTCAGAACCAATGTCCTTGGTTCGACCTCTGAAGCTGAAAAGGCTCGCTCTACTGTTGCGTCTTGGAGAGAAAAGGGAGCCTCGAATGCTCAATAAAGACTACGAGTAACAAGAGAAGAAACAAAGACAGATGCACAGAAGTAAGAGCCAACATTCTGAAAAACTTGACTAGCCTCAGGGTTTCATAGCTGTTGACTTATCTAAGAACAAGGCTTCAGACAAGGGGAACCAAGAATTTTTGGTTGACTGCTAGTAGTATTCCAGCATTACCAAGGTTATTTCTTTCATTGTGCTTTCCTTTTCCCTCTCTCTCTTCATTTTTATGCACTTTTTCATTTATGTTACCTATACAGAATATACATGTACTTTCGTAATGCTGTTTTGTCTTATAGTTAACTCGCAGGATAGCAATTTTTGCTAGCCACTTTCAGTAGATAAGTTTAATTTAATTCAATAGGAAGCAATTAATTATTTATGTTTAGATCTCTAGAAATGAAACAAAAATCTGTCCAGTAAGAGCTCACGAATAATTACACCCTGATGTATTTCTTCCCACACAGGAGAAAAATCAATCTTGCTAGTAGATCTGCTTAATTGTAGTACAAGGAGCATCTTCTCCGCTTTTCTAGTACATATTTTATAATGGCATTTATGAATAAATTAAACAAATCAAGCTCTGATTCACTCTGATTTTCACTCTTCTGTTTCAAGAAATATTAACAAAATCCAGTTTTCACTAGGCATCCTGTCACAATCATTGGATTCCTCCATGTGATGACCTTGGAATTCTGTCATACACTTCCTGTCTCTTATCTGTGGTGGCATAGGGAAGAAGCAATCACTTCCAGTATACTAGACTATTTTTAAAAGCCCCACTTGTTATTGTTTGGCCAATTGTTTAGCCATTCCTCATCAACTCTCAGATGGGTTAATGTGGGAACCATTAGATCCAACCTCTGTATCTAGCAGGGAGACAAGGTAACCAGTCTATTTCACAATACAAGACTGAAGAATGGGTTAAAGATAGGCAAAGGATTTTGCCTGGCCCAGGTGGGTTTACGATTGAGGTTCCTAAAGATATTAAATGTAAAGTTGGGATCTTTAAACGCAACTTGTCATCATAGGTGGGAATCTAGATTGAAGTATTAAAAGAGACTTGGTCATAATAACATGGTTTGGTTCCCTAGACACAAGCATAGTTCTTAGATTTAGTTCAGGGATTTGGATTTTGGCAACCGCTCCTGCATGGCAGGCCAGCACTGAAATTTCCTCATAGCCTGGAAAGCTTTCCCAGGTGCCTCTTTTTCCATTCAAATATTATTAATTAAATACCCGTGCTTCAACTCCAAGAGATGAAGGAAAAACATTAGTACAAACCTCTTAATATTAACCTTAAATGTATATAGTCTTAGCTTCCCAAGTAAGAAAATACAAATTTCAAAATGCTAGATTAAAAATCAAGATCCAACTGTTTACTGTCTGTAAGTAAATCAACTCACTCTCAAAGACATGTGCCTACTAAAAGGGAAAGAGATAAAATTATGTTATAAACAAACAGAATCTGAAAGTAATCCGACAAAGCAGACATTTCTATGTTGCTTTGTATGTCCCTCCCCACAGTATAACCCCTGCTTTTACTGTATTTGAGGTTGGTATAATTTGTGGAGGGGAAGGGAAAAAACAAATCGTTTAAATAGGGATACAGGTGGACCCTTTGCAACAATGACATGTACAAGTCGCTATGTTGAAAAATGAACTTTACAACTTTGGTGTCGGGGGAAGGATTGAGTGGAGGGAGGTGGGGGGAGTATGGGAAGGGATGGGAAGGGGAAACAAAGAGGAGGCAACAATGCTTGATAAGAAATGTACTTGTTATCTTTCCCATGTAATTGTAACTCATTTGTATGGTATTCTCACAATTAAAAAAAAAGCAGACAGGCTAAAAAGGTTACTACCTAGTAATAAAGAATCCATAAAGAAGACATGAGAACATTGTACCTACCATTGGTGTACTGTTTCATAAACCAAATACATCTGATATGAAGGGACAGATAGTTCCAGACATGAATAATAGAGTACAACCTCATATGTTAATTTCATTAATAGATTGTCCATATAAGGGATCAACAAAAAAGCTTCAAATTAAACTTTTCCACAAATCAAATGGTCTTTACAGATATCTACAGAATATTGCATCCAACAGCCTATGGAGATTTCTCCAACACAGATCACAGTTTTAAGTTATTCTTAATGAATATAAAACAAATGGAAGATTTTTTAACTTATTAGATATTAAGGAAAGAAAAGTAGAAATCAGCAGCAAGAGAAACTACAGAAACCATACAAATACATGAATATAGACAAAATTCTAAATGACCAGTGGGTCACTGAGGAAATAAGGGAAGAATAAAAACTTGTCATAATCAAATGAAAATAACAATGTAATTTGCCAGGGCCTTTGTGGCACAATGAAAGCAGTTCTCTGGGTGAATTTTATAGTTTGGGGTACATACATTAAATTGTCAGAGAGAGGAAGATGGCCACAGAGTGACATAACCTGCCATTCTTCCTCAGGGACACATCTAATTCAATTGCTAATCCAACACTCACATCCTGCAGAACTGCTAAAAAAGTGCTGGTGACAAACCAATTTCAGTGCCATCAACCTCCCATGAGCTATAGATAACCACAGGCAGTGTGCAGCCACAGATTACATGCCCAAAGGCCCTACACTGCATGCTGGAAGTGCAGACGTTACTGTGATCCTAGAGACCCTAATGTTGCATGCTCTGTACCTATGCTGTAATTCTGCAGAGGAGCCTAAACATGAACCCCTCACAGGGACAGAGGACAGGGCCAAGATAGGGGCTGGGTAATGCTACCCAATATAGCTCCATCTGGGAGACTCTGGCAGCAAACACTTCAGCAATGAGATGAAGCACAGCTCTGCTGCATGCTTTGGATTCTGGAATGAACTTCTGCCAGTGAGTTGTGAGGACTTGGGAGAAGAATCTACAAGTTTAGTAGAAAATGTGTAGGAATGGCCAGTCGAGGACCAAGACCCTAGAAGCCCCAGCTACAGACTATATTCAGATTTCCCTAAACTCCCTCCCCCTTATACTCAAAACCAAACAGATACTGTTCCAGAGTGAAGTGCATAGACTGCCATCTACTGATTTAAAGAACTCAGAAGTGGAATGAACATATCTGCATAGGAGAGGAAATGAAAATGTTAATTTTGTTTTGCTTCATTTTTTAAAAAATAGCATTCATTAGTTATACATGGAAGATTTCATTGTGACATTTACACAGTGGATACAATGCATCCGAATCAATCTGATTCCCTCTATCAATTCTCCCTTTTCCTACTCCCACTTCTTAAAATAATTTCAGTGGTTTCTTTTCATTGTATTATTTTGACAGATACCATAAACTACTTCAATCATATTCATCCTCATTCTTCCTCTTTCTTAGCCTTCTCATTTTGTTTTATGGAGAGCTGTTTTTGACACTATTTTTTGTTGGTTGATTTGTTATTCAATTGTTTGCATTGATTTTGTTTCTTGGTTTGGGTAATTTTGAGGCAGACCACATGTATTCAGTATTCAACCTAAAACCTTGTAGTTTTTCCCTTTTCTATTGCCCTTTCTCATTTGAGATTCCCTAGTTAAAATTAGAACTACTGTTTGATGTATATTTTCCCCTATTTGTTTTGTCCCTTTTGTAATCCATCTGTGTTACTTATACTCTCTCTCTCTGTGGTGTGTGTGTGTGTGTGTGTGTGTGTGTGTGTGTGTGTGTGTGTGTGTGTGTGTGTGTGTGTGTACTAGTCCACAGGCTTGAAATCAGGGACTGGGTGCTATTGTTGAGCTTTTATGCTGTTTGCTCACTTTAGTCACAGCTCTACTTCCAGTTTTTGGTGTTTAACTGGAGATGAGTATCATATTCCTTCCTGCCTGGCTAGTGTTGAACCTTCAACCTCAGATTTCAGCCTCCTGAATATCTAGGATTACAGATATGGGTCACAGACACCCAACTCTATGTTCTTATTAGGTAACTAACTATAATAATCTCTCTCTCTCTCTCTTGACCTGTCTAACTGTTCTCATTTCTCTTTCTCTTCTTTATCAATATAACCTTAGTCAGCTCTTTTCTATCTTACTCAACTTTATCATTAATCTCTTCTATGAAGCTTAGCCACCATTCCTTCCTGACATATAAAACCATACACCTTTCAATATTCATTAGTGCTATCCCCCTATGTCTTCCCCCTTACCACCTTTATTAACTAAGATATCCCTGTGTCACATGACTCATCTTTGATCTTATATTATTTTAAAGATACTGGAGCTGTAGTAATGGTTATTTTTTATTTTAGTAATGGTTGTTTTTAATTAAGGATTTCCGTAATCTCAAGGTTGTGGTTAATCACCTGTGATGGTCTTTGAAGTTAAGGGTCCTCTTCCTGAGAAGAGCAGGGGAATGAACTCAATATCTTAAGTATTAAAGGTTAATATTTGACTATTGAGGCACAACCCCTTACTCACCAGTTCAGTGAAAAAGAAATTTACTACAATTTGGCCACTACCTAGTCTTAATTAATATTTTAGAAATCCACAATATTGGTATGTAAAGGAAATATGGAATATGAAATTATGAAGTTATATCATTTGCAGGAAAGTGGATAGAACTGAAGATCATCATGCTGAGAAAATTAAGTCAACTTCACAAGAGCCAAGCATCACATGCTTTCACTCATTTGTGGAATTTAGAACTAAGACGATGATGATGGGACATGAATGAGAATTTGGACTGTTTAACTGGAATGAATCAGCAGGAGAAGGGAGGTAGAAAGAAAAGGATATTGAGAGTGAACAAAACTGTAGTACTTTATGTATATTCAGATGAACATAACACAATGAAAACCACCAAACACTGTCTGAAAATGGAAAGGATAAAGCTGGGTTCTGGAATATCATGGAAGCAGTGAACTTGCTCAAAATACACTATATGCAGCAATATTAAAATACAACCCATGGTTCATTAAAAATATGTTAGAAACAATAGAAAGAAAGAAAAAAGATATTTGTGTCCCTATC